CCTCTCGCTCGATTGCAGAGAGGAATTTCATTCGGCTGTTAAATCGGGGGCAAGGGGTTGAGCGGGGCGCCGCCGAGGAAGGAAGGGCGCCGAGCAGCCGCCTGGCCTGGCCTGACCATCCCACGCGAGGAAGACGGCGCCGGCCTTATAGGCGGAGCGCCCGTCTCGCCGGCGACGACCGCCACCATGTAATCCCTGCATCCCCGTTTTCCGCACCCGCGCTGCGTCCATCTGTCTGGTGTTCCTCGGGACTGACCCCCCTCCCTGCCGCCCCTCCTTGCAGGGCATTCGCGGGCCTGGAGCTGCGGTACCCCAGGGCGCTCGACCCCCACCCGAACTGGACGCTCGGCGACGCCCTCACCGACGCCACCCGCCGCTCCGCGCCGCCCACGCCCCTCAAGCAGCCGCCGGAGTGGTATCTCGCGTCAGTCTCGCAACTTACGCCTGGTTGATTTGCGGATGCATTTGACTGTACTTGTTTTTTGTTTTTGTTTATTTATTACTAGGGCTAGCGGTGGCGACATGAGGGAGAAGGCCTTTGTGATGCGGGTCGAGGAGGAAGACGGCTCGGAAGAGGAAGACGACAACACCGATGAGGATGCCCATGCTCTTGTGACCACCGGGGCGAGGTTCCCATGCAATGATCTCGAATGCAGGTGAGAGTTTGGTACTGCAATTTGGTTCCTGCAGCCAGTTGCATTTTTCTTATATGAAATTAACACGTTGTAGTTTGTCAATATCAGCTGTCATCTGACAATTTAAGCGTTACCTCAACGGGAGAGGAAGACATTGGGAATTTTGAGTGGCAGCCTGTATGCTTGTAAGAAAGATAGCCTTTGGTCTTAGGGACAATCTGCAAAGGATAATGATACCATGAAGGCATTAACTGTGCCTATTGCATTCCCGTTTCTCTGCAGAACTGTAGAAGTCTGCTTTATGAGTTTAGGCATGTCAATTTTCTTAAGGCTCCGTTTGACATCAAGGTGGATTGGATTATGATACCTTCACCGCTTTGACTGCCTTTGGAAATTGAGTGTTTGGCTACCCGCTTATCTTTCAATCAGTTAATAGCTTTTCGTTGCGGAACACATAAGATGAAATGTGAGAGGATAATCATCAGTCAACCCAATCTATCTACAATTTAATTTTATGTATAAAGAAGAGCAATGAACTTTTCGTGATTTGTTTTTTGCAATAGCTTAAAAAATAAGCACATCAGATTTCGTTTATTTTTTGCGGGGACACATCACAGTTCATTAACTACATACTGATGCTAAGTTATACCAATTATTTATTCCTAGTGGATTTGAAGATTCTGGAGATGAAGTAGATTGCAGCAGTGCACCATATCACCTGATGGAGAAAAGGAGCCTAGAGAAGAGCATTCTGCTTGTGCTGGAACTTGAGCATCATCTGAAAATTCAAGTGTGTACTACTTTGCTGTTCCTCTTTAATAAGCACAGTATGCTAGTGATGGTCTAATGATTTTCCTTTGATGTATCAGTAATAAACCATTAATTTTTGCCATTTGCACCCATTGCAATTTAGAGTAACTATTAGACTATTAGTTATACCACGCTCACTGTCTTTTCCTGTAAAGGATTGTGCATTACAACGGCCTTTTAAGTGCTCCGGGCATGTGGATATTGCGCACCATCTTCTTGTCTGGCTTACAGTCTCAATATCTAGATGGAGCTTACTGGTTGATTTTATGCTTACTGGACATGCCATACTGATATTGATAGAACACACCTCGAGATTTTGAACATAATTTGCATATATGATACTAAAAGAAAAGAAGGTTGCTTTCGTTAGTTGACAACTTGATGTTGAAATTTTCAAATACACAATTTTTTTTGCACAATGAATATTACGACCCATGAAGCGAAATAATGGGGGCCCCAAAGAACCAAATTTCTTATTATTGCATCCCGGCACTCATTTATTCTCCATACACTTATCGGCTTTTCTTTTGTGTAATTTTTTTCCATCTTGGATTTATAGCTGATTTGTGGAGTATGGATTTCTCCAGGATTCTAACAATACTGCCGTTTCTTAAGCTACAACATGTTTAATGTGATAATAGGACAGAAAGTACAAAAAATCATTGTACTAGACATGTATATCTGCGATGACAATTTCCTTTGTGGATCAAACAATATTCATCATGCAATTTATTGAATTTAATTATTTAATGGTGTCATTGGCTTGCTTTGGCCACAATGTATACAGCCTTAATTGATACGGAGTACTGTTAGTTGTTTGTTTTCTTCACTCATGATGTTTGATCTTCAGGAGGAAGTAAGAAGTAAGCTATCTTCATTGGAGCTATGCCATCAAAATGAAATCCAGAGAACAATTTCTGCATTTGCCCGACTTCAGAAATATGCAGAATCACGAAAAGAGATAGATAGAAGGCTGGATGTCCAGTTCCAGAGAAAAATGTATGTACTCACTTATTTATTTGTAATGCTTCTAAAACTATACTGCGATACTTTTAGAAATTTCAGAGAAATTTATATTTCACTGGATCACTTAAGGATACAAAGAGAGTTCTCATACTAGTCCAACATTAATTCATAATAACTGTTGTGTCGCTGGAGAGACATACCTGTGGCTCTCTTGATGGGTATGGCGACTGGGGTGAATGGTTGTGTTGCACTGCCTCTCAGACACTGGCAACCTCTTATGCACAACCACTAGACACATCTCTGTTAGATTGATCGGATGACTGATGGCTAATGCCAGTCTGCTGCTACTCTATTAGTCTAATACTCCCTCCATCCGGAATTACTTGTCGCAGAAATGGATATATCTAGACATATTTTAGTTCCAGATACATCCATTTTTATCCATTTCTGCGACAAGTAATTCGGGACGGAGGGAGTACTATGTTTAGTGATTCTTCCACCATATACAACATCCCTGATCATAATTTGTTGAAGTTTACTACTTAGGAGTAAAATAATAATTGAAGTTTTAGGTTTCAGCATTCAAATGCGAACTGCACTAATTTGTAATGAGTTTGTCTTTTCTTGCTTACTGGTTTAGCTGTGGCATGCATATACTTTATCAATATACTCTATGCTAGTATGCTTGTAAGTGCGGACTTTGGTTAAATGTTGAAAAAAAATATTTGGTTGTGTGATCTGTCCGCTTTGGTACCATATATCCATCTTAGCATCCTAAGGGATCTTCTATTGGGGCTTTGATAATGATAATATCTTTTTTGTAACAAGTGTCTCCTTCAAAATTCCATTTGCCTGCTTGTTTTAAGAGTACATTCTGTTATATCTGTTATATGATTAATTGCTTATTAATTTTGTAGTTCTAAGCATTGTCATTACAATATCTGACAACTGTACCATTTAAAGCCCAACATCCAATTCATTCTTCAGAGTTCCATTTTTTTCAGAAATGTTGTTTGGTAGAGTTTGTGGGTAGATTATCTTCTGATTCACATGATATATGTTGCACAATTTCATAAAACTTTGAGCCTATAATACTATTTTGTTATACTCAGTATCATGTTACCTTATTGCTTCTTGTAGTGCAGAAGTACTCGATAAACACTTGTCTATGGTACAAAGGGATCATGGACAGAAATCCCAGATTGTGGAACGTAGAATAAGAGATGATGCAGCTGTTGAAGAAGCTAAAAGGGAGCAATCTATGAAGGAAGAAAAAGTAAATCAGGAAAGGACTAGAAAAGAAGCAGAGGTTTGTTTGCTCGAATTTGTTGTTCACTTAATCTGTTTCTATACAATTTGTGGTATTTGGGGCCTTAATCCATTTCTGTAACATAATGGTGTGTTGTTTTGTATCGATCAAAGTAGACTGTTGAGTTTCATCAGGTTTTGTTGCATCTATTATTTTGTTGGTTGTTACTTCCTTCCCATTTCTTATTCTATTTTTTTCTCAGATTTTTTGTACTAGCAATTGTTATTTCAGGAAACATTTTTTGTTCATTTCACTGCTAGTCAGTTAAATGCTTGTGCACTTAACCTGGAAGTTCATGAACAATAAATGCAGGCCCGGCAGAAGGCAGCTGGAAAATTAGCAGCTGAAGCACAGAAAGCAGCATACGAGGGAGCTGCTATATTGAGGGTAGAGACAGTTTCTACATCTAGCCAAATTTCTCAGAACAGTGTTTCTCATGCAACAATGGTGAACAACATTGGAGTCAAATCAGAATTACCAGGTGTGTTTGACTTCTATAGAACTGACTTGCGATACTTTAAAGCTACCTCTAAACTCCTGTACCTATGTTTTTCATCCTCTTAATGAAAAGCTGTGCAAATGCTTGTTTGCACATTCTCTAAACTCGACAATTTTATGTCATTTTCTGTACTTAAAGAGTGCTGGCACAAGTTATTAAAGCAGATTTTCTCAAACCGGATCAAATCGCACCCAATGTCTCTCTCGTTCGTCCATTTCAAAAAGTTGCAAAATAAGTTGATTTTTTTCATGAATGTTAATCCGGACATACATGTACACTTGCAATCTGATACAAAATTAACAAACTAGTACAAGGCTGAGTAGTTAGTATGCTTTCTGAAGATGCAAATTTTGTTTATTGTGTGTTTTGTGGATGGAGTCATATTTTCACCAAATTTTGCAAGTATACATGTACTACCATGTTCAATAACATCCATGCGTTTTTAAAATTATTTTGCAACCTGGGTGGAGATATACATTTTTGCAGAAGCTATTTCTTATATTCTTCAGAAATTGCCAATGGGCCAGCTTGTATTGTTAAATTTCGAGGAAGTGACGGGAGCAGTACAATAGCTTGCAAAATGCTCGTTCAGTACCCTAGACTTGGCTTGTGGGGGCACTTACGGTCCAAACGATGCCATGACGCTGTATTACTACCGATGTGGCCTTCCCACGTGGAAAGTGCGCGGGCATAGTCTCACGTGTGGTGGGCGTGATGAGCCCACGCGGCTCCTGGCCTTCATACGTTTTGCAGCCCCCCTGGGACTTTGGAAACCTCATAATCGCTTCCCTGTATCCAATTGATTAACATATTCAAGGAAGGAAGTGATAGTGATACGGCGTGTCGTGTGCGCTCCCTCAAGCCAAGTCCAGGCTGCCAGATGAGCATTTTGTGAGATGTTGGAGTCTAAAGTGCTCCCGCAAGCCAAATTGTTGTACTGCAGGCATTATTTACTCTTTAAATTCTGTGCATTGGATTCTAGGAACCATGGCAAGGATTGTGCAGTGCTTGCATGAAACACATACTGTGCACTTTAAGCACACATTATTTCACCTTCATTGTTCATCAACAATTTCATTTTTGTATCAAGAATTGCTATTCCTATCTATACGAGTCGTTGGTTCCCAACTACTACCTCCGTCTTGAAATATAAGACGTTCTTGTAGGCTAAACTAGCCTTAAAAAACATCTTATATTTTGAGACGGAGGTACTAAATTGTTACCGCTCCTGTTTTTAATATAAACTTGGGCTGAGGTGTTCTCGCTTGTTCAAGAAAAAAAAAACTAACATTTTATCTGTTGTAGCTTGATTTATAGGGGTGGCGGTAAATTAATTAATTGTCTTATTAATACCAGGAATCAAAGTTTTTGCTGATAGTATCGCATTAGAAGCGGAATTGCGGAGGCGCGCATTACATGACCAAGTGTCTTCAAATATTTACCTAAGCAAGGTCTTACTTTTCTTTGAAAGATCTCTGTCTTCAATTGCATTTTTGAACAACTTGCTGCAAATCGTTGATATGATAATTCATATCTGTTAACTCTTTCCCAATTTCGATTCTACCGCCAAATGTTAGCCCCTGATTTGTATGTAGCATGCTGTTTAACTGTATGGCTGTATTTGACCGATACCATGTTATATTGTGCAGGAGTATAGCCAATATGGCCGACAAATTGGAAACTCTATTGGTAAACTTACGCCAACTACTGACAGTGTCAAGTGAGTATACAACTAACGTTATAATACTTTGTAAATCCTAGAGCTCAGTTCAGATAAGTTCCTGTAAAATACAAGAAAGCTACTATTGTGGTAACTTTGAGCTAATTTGGTAAGGGCCATTGCAAAGTTGAAGAACCATCCACATCGATGCCGTATCTTTCTTAAGAAATGACAACCATAATATATGCCATAAGGCATCAAGGTTAAAGTTATTTCCAGCGCTCTGCTGTTGTTGCATATAGTTCCCTCATCCTAATCATTGTGCATAGGCTGCTAAGTGTTAAGATAAATCTGGAGAGATTGTGGATTCATAATCTTGTGTTACATGCACCCTTTTGCCATTATAGCTAATGAAGTAGGTGTAGTCTTTCACAAATATTTTCGTATCACTTTGGATTGAAATAGTGGGAAGAGCTGTCTCAGACTAATACGCAAGCCATAATGCTATTTTGGCTACATTCTAGCTCAGTAATGGCTACTAGCAAGAACTTGTTTCTTCAAGAAAAACACTCATTTCTGTTGTTGGGTGACAGAAAATATCAAATGCAGCAGATAATTAGTTATTTCATATACTTTAGTTAAATCAAGTGGTAGAACTCCCCAAGGTTTTTGAGTCGCCTAGCCAAGTCGAGTCGCCATGCCTCCGACTAGTGGCTCGCTGTGATTAGTCTGCGACTCGTCGTGATTAATCGCCCCAGGTGTTAAGAGGAGGAGGG